CCCTATCAAAAAGAATGGTATACAAATAAAATAACTTATCAAGATGGTAAACCTAAATTCACTGTTTTGGATTCATTATCAAATGCATATGTCGGAGATTCACCATCATATCCTTGGGGACAAATCGTTTCAAAAATCAAAGAATTAAACAGAAATATTAAGAATGTATATAATTTTGGACATAAATTATTTGGATTTGAAAATAAATCTATCATTTGTTATTTGGAGGAACTCAAAGAGCGTTTTATCTCGAATAGCGATGAAGTAAAGTATCTTCAAACATATGAAACAACACCTAAATTTCAGAAATCCGCTGAAGCTTTTACAGAAATGGTAAATATGATTATAAGTGAAAAATATTTGCAAACAGATCTCAGTCAAATTAAAATCAAAATCCATCGTCTAGGGGAACAATATATTCTTAAATTTTTAGAAGCATTTATAATTGCCCGCCCCAAATTTTATGCACAGGTTATAGGTTTCTTACAAAATTTTTCATTTGACCAGGAATTATACTCAAAAGCAGGAATTTCTAAACCATTAATACAAGCAATAATTAATGGCGATAAAAGATATTCGAATATTTTTGCTTTTTCAGGAAAATCGTGTGATTTAACAATCGAAGATTTTATTAATGTTTTAATTTCAGATCAAACAAATCAAAATGGTGAAGAATATTATCAAATACGTATCAGATCTATATTGGATAATAGTAAATATTCTTTCTATGAACTAGCAGTTAAATTTGAATCAATTAATATTTTAAATTCGTGTAATATAGATAATGTTACACCAATCATGAAAGCATTGATAATGTCAAGCCCAAACGAAACAATTTTCAAAATGAATGATAAATTCAATTTGCAGACTTATCAATTTACAAACCAAATCAAGTATGTTTTATCTTTTGCATACAATATCTCAGAGTTATTTTCTACATTTAGAAATCCATTACTCTCTTCGATTGTTTCAACAAATAATATTATATCAGTAATGAATTTGAATGAAAGCAAAGTTATTCGTTTAAAGATTCATTTAATCTTCCATGAGGCCCTAATTCAAAATAATGATTTTATGTACAAGAACTTTAATGTTTTGAATCAAATAAAAAACAATGACCTTCTGGAAATTTTAGCAAAAGCTTGTTTGAAAGCTGACAAAAAAATTCAAGCAGATTTTGAACAAATCATGGGTATTAAATTTACAGCGATCAAACAATTTCATGAATCCATAGAAAAAATTCCAGTTGATCGGTCTCCAATTACAATAGATGGTTGCCATATTTGTTTTGAATGCTCTAAAAATACTGATATTGAAAAACTCAAATCAATGCAATTAATTCTAATAAGCCCTGGTATTCATATCAATGTGTTAACTTATGAACAAACATTGAAGTTTTTGGAACAAATGCCAGCATTTATTCATTTGGGCCTTTCCAATATAAGTTCTGATCGATCTGTAAACTTAAATTATTTTCTACTTCAAAACGAAGATTATTCCCCTTTAAAAATTTCTACAGATAATTATTATTACTTTAAGATCACATTGTATGACAAAATCGTATCCTTTGAATATTCAAAAGTATCAGATACGTTGTGGATGATTACTGTACCAAAAAACATGAAAAACATAAAATTACCCAAAGAGTTTTCAGGGAGGTTAAAATGGTACATTCAAATAACGAAAGTTGATCTCCCAGGACATCCTCTGCAAGATGAAATACAGGAAAAAATAAAGCATGATAATGAGATTGGTGATATCTTAACTTCATATCCCGGGAAATTTTATGTAAATTATAGCACAACGATAAGAAGTGATAGTTTATTCGTCAATGGAAATCCTATAGAATTTCTTATATATATTCCAAGCGAATCAGGAAATTTGGCGTTGGAGTGTAATTTAATTCACTTAGATGCTACTTTTTCATGGCCGAAATATATATTTATTTTTCCTCGTGGTAATTACTATATGCGAGGTTACCCTCTAGGGATATACATAGGGCGCAGCGAATCATCCGCTGCTTATCAACGGTGGCTTACAGCCATGAATATTGAATTTAAATCATTAAACATTATGGAGCACTTTTCAAGAATCAAATGGATGAGCGATTTAGGTACTGGAGTTTTAAAATTTTTGAATACGAATCATTTCCAAAATTATATCTGTATTAGGCACTATCTCGGAACCATGGGCAATAATACTTTACTACATGTTTTTGCTCTGATAGTATTATTATCAAAATCGGCCCAAGATTTTGAGGACAATTACAAATGTTTTGATCCATCGGTTCAGAAAATGTATGCTACAAAGAATATATCAGATGAGCAGCTGGAAAAATGGAAGCAGATATATAAAGATCAAGAGCATTTAGCAGCATACCACCGCATTCCACCTATAAGCACTAATAATAGTGCAGAGGGTAAGCATAGACACATTAACGAACTTGCAAAAAAAGCAAGAAACTTTTCTACTTTCATCAAATTCATTCTGAATGATACTATCATTAGGATTAATGAATCAATTGATCCCATTAATAAGCAAAAACGCGAGAAGAATGACTTGTTAAACGAAAAATGCATACATTGCGGATTCTCCTATAATGATATTAATACTGATAAGAATCCTTGTAAATATTGCAAGGATTTCTTTATGAATAAGAGTCATGTTCCCTCTGCAGGCATACATGTTATGAAAATAGGAGAAAACGTAGGTGAAATCATAGAATTCCCAATCGATAAAAATGTAGGTGATCAGGATGAACTCGTGGATCACAAAGAAAAGAGTTCGCCGATCGAAATATCAAAATACGCAGAATTTATTGATATTGACGATAAAAATAAAGCAGTTTTAGTCGTAAAACTGCTTTATAATCTTGAAACGTTCCAAGATGCCAAAGATTTAATCAATTCTCTGGAAAAACAATCAAAAAATTATGAATCTGCATTACAAAATAAACCAGAAATTTGGTTGGAAAAATACTTGCCTGAATTAATGAAGGAAGTAAAAGATGCGAGAGCTGCTAGAATGAGATTGAAGATAATAAAGAAGTAGAGATGATGAGTGAATAAAAACTTTGTATTAAATTTGTATATAAAAGAATTGTAAAATATAAAAATAAAGAAGTGGTTGATAGGAATTTGAAAATTCGTTGGGTGCATATAAGTTTGATAAATATATTTATGAATATTAATGTCAAATTGGGTGGTTGCATATAGTAATGAAAAATATATTAATAAAAATTAATGTCAATTTGGTTGGTTGCATATAGTAATGAAAATAAGATTAATAAAAATTAATGTCAAATTGGGTGGATTCGTGATAGAATGCTTCTGTGTATGTGTGGCGTGAGTTAGCATCGGGTGGTTGCGTGATAGAATGCTTCTGTGTATGTGTGGCGTGAGTTAGCATCGGGTGGATTCGTGATAGAATGCTTCTGTGTATGTGTGGCGTGAGTTAGCATCGGGTGGTTGCGTGATAGAATGCTTCTGTGTATGTGTGGCGTGAGTTAGCATCGGGTGGTTGCGTGATAGAATGCTTCTGTGTATGTGTGGCGTGAGTTAGCATCGGGTGGTTGTGTGATAGAATGCTTCTGTGTATGTGTGGCGTGAGTTAGCATCGGGTGGTTTCATCACAAATTTTAACCCATCCAAATCTTATTAATTATTAAAATTCTTTTACAATTTCTGATGTATTTTTTGAAAACATTTCATATGCAATATTTCTCCTTTTCTTTCCTCAAATCTTCAAATATTAATAACTTTGGATATGAAATTATTTGGATCTTTTATGAATTTTAAATGTCTTTCTTAATATCAAATCGATTAAATTATTAATATTTTCTAAATTATGCCTTAAAAATCCAAATATAAAAAATCGTAAATAAAAAATATATTTTTTATTTTTATTTTGTAAATAATCCGTTTACTAAATGGGACTGTATCATGAAAGTAACAAAAATCATTATTTAACAAGATTCAAAACTGGTGCAACGAAATGCACATTGATTTTGTAGTGTAACAAAGAGAGATTTATTGTAAAAAGTACAAAATAGTATATTTATTATCGTGATTAGCGTAGAAATGTATGAGTTTGGGACGGATTTCTGGTGCATTCATAACTAAAGTGATACATTGTCTGGAGCAAGTTCAGATCTTTAACTTATGGCTTGTTTGGTGCTAACTCACCCAATTTAAGTGCACTAGAGGGGATTTTTCCTGAAAATAGTTACAATATATGAAAGAGTTGGCAAAACTAGAGGACACGTCTTTAAGGGTTTGGCTCTTGATTCATGTTAATATGCCGAAACTAAAATAAACGTATATTGGGGGTCGAAAATTGAGAGCTCATATCTTTAAGTGAAATATCAAGAATTCAGTTGCTATCTGCCAAAAATAGTTATATATGGTGATTTTACATGTATGCAAGTTAAATTTACAAGCAAGTCAATTGAATTATCATGTAATCGAGAGAGGGTCAAAGTTGCTATTTGTCACTTTTCCACAAGAATATAATGGGGAAAAAGTTATCATATAGTTGATCTCATTCACTGAGGCGAGAGATGCATGTAGTGTAATATGTAATGGGATAAACAGTGGGATTGCTGCTCTAAGTCCTAGGTTCGAGACACATTGGCTTCATTTTTCTCTTTTTTATTGACGTAAACTATTCAATTTTTGTGTTCTCCATTCAAATTTCAGAATTTTTTTTGCAGATTTCACGCTACATTCGAAGTTACCTTTTGTAACAACCACCACTGCCTACGAAAGACGAAAGTGTGTCACGATTTCACCCGGAAATCCGACGGTTGTTTAAGAGTAAGCACTTTTGGCACCTACTCTCATGTAATCAGGAAAAATAAAATATTATCTAATAATATACTCAAATAATGATCTTATCTCAAGATTTAGAGGAATGTTCATAGAATTATGATAAATATTTAAATATGAAAGGAAAGTAATATTTTATTATTTTTTAAACATAAAATAGCATGAGTGTGTAATTTAGCTAACAAGTGATTGCTCAACTTCATGCTTTTCATTATTTTCATCGTCATCAGAGTTAATAACTTTGAAAACAACATGTTTTGATGTTTTCCAGAAAACAAGGGTAATCAGTGTTCCAATTACGTATCCAGCAACAACGTCGCATGGATGTGCCTTGTAATCTGTAATTCTTGTAGCGCCAATCCACAATCCAACGAAAACTGGGAGGAATTCGAGAATTGTAAGTGGAGTGGACTTGTATTTAATTAGTTTTTGAAGGTATAATGTGAAAAATAGATAACTTGACATTGCAGAAGCGGCGTGAGTTGAAGGAAATGATCTAAGAAGGTCATGGAGTGTATTTTTATCAAGAAATGTGCATGTGTCAGGTGTTGCTGATGCTCCGCAACGAGAATAAAAATCTACACCGGCTCTTCCAACAAAATTCTGTAATATTAAGACAACAGAATTGGTTATTGATACTGTCGAAATGTGTGTCCATATAAGTGGGAAAATGTTGAATTGCTTAAAAATTTTCGTTAATTTCTTTTGAATAAAATAAAACATGATGAAGAATAGCCATACACCAGGAAATGTTATGATTTCTAATACAACAACTGGTATTATTTCACGTGATTTGTAAGGATAATTATATTCTGCGTTTTGTGGTGGTAAATAGAGATGATTTGGTGTTAAAAATGAAAAACCAACCCATGCAGCAACGCATGCGATCATACAGAAAAGTTCAACTATGTCTAATTTCTCTAAAAATTTCCCCATTTTGAATTACTAAAAAAAGTGAGTTTCAGAAAAAGAAAATCAAAGGTTTAAAAATGTGAATGATCTAATAACTGTAATCTACTTTATCCTCACTTAAAAAAACTGTAAAATCAAACATTATTTTATTTTTGCGAAATTTCTTTTATTTTTTAAGGGTGCGCCCGGGAGGATCATGTAAACTTCAGAATTTAGAACCTTAATTTTTAAGCAATAACTTGGTACCTAAATAGGTAGGAAAACTCTAAAAATATCAAAAAATACAACTTGGCTCCATAATAATCCTGTCATGGTGGCTGTTTGTATCCCCTAGTATTTTCCTCTTGAATCTCTTTTTCTGTCGAAATTAAATTCAAATCTCAGAAGTAGAAGTGAATAATCGACTTATTACTGCTATTATACGAATAAATAAATTCATTATATTATTTTTATTTACATAATATCTGTTTGAAGTCCATAATTCTATAAATTTTTCTTCAAAAACATTACAATCTTGATAGTTTTGATACTGTTTAATAGGTTTTTGGCACCTTATTTAGTATTTACTACGTATAGAGTAGATCTGAACTTAATTTTCGGAAATTTAAAATATTTATTATAAGTAAAATCTGATTTGAAATTTATGTTTAACTACTCATATCTTGCATTATCCTGAGTAGCTTTTGTAAAAAATTCATCAAAAAAGATTTTAACGTGCTTTAATTTTATTTTTTAAAATAATGCATATTATTATATAACTAGCATATTTACAAATTTTACTGCTTTCAAAAATTTAATCCTCCTCCTCTCAAATAAACGTACATCCAGGTGGCCTGTTTTTTGCAAAAAATCAAATTTCATTTTTTATGCTTAAAAAGTCAGAATTTTTATTTGCTTCTGGTATATGATGGCTATATCAGATGCCCATTCTTTTTGATACTCAACATTAAACATAAAACTTAGCCGTTAAGGCTCTTCTGAAAATATTTTTTTTCCGAAAAATTTTCGAAAAAAATCAAAAAATTTAAAAATCCCGAATCTGCAGGGATTTTAAAAAATTCTTTTTAGTAAAACTTAAGGATATTGTATCAGATATATTGGTATGGGCAAATTCAATTTTAATCCAATATTCATCGAGATATTAAGTTAACGAAGCTTTCAAAATTGAGAGGGTAATCCTCCTCCTCTCAAATAAACGTACATGCGGGGCACCCTTAATAGATGATAGATAATCTAGATTTACGATACATCGCAATTTTGTCAGCCCTAACGGCTATAGCATGTGATGTTATAGTGAAATTAATCAGTACAGTTAAATCGGATCTTCCAAGCTTCAGATATCGACCATTTTCAAAACCATTTACGATTTCATTTTTGATTTCAATAGGAACATCAATAATAAGTACAATTCAAAAGCCAAATTGTCCGCTGAGAACTGCAATCGTGTTTTTGATCCCATCTGTACTATCAGCAATGTTTCTCCTTCTATTTAATTATGCAGTTGTGAATGGACAAGCATTTGTATCCTTTGTCATACGTCAAATATGCATGATTTTTATACCATTAATTTTAACATTCAAAAAACCTCGCTCATACCAATATTTAGTTATAGGAATCGCCTCAATATCATTGATACTAGCATTTGTATCTCATATAGGATCAATAATCTATCCATTTTTAGCTTTAATCTCAATGTTGTTTAAACTCGGACAAATTTATGCAGAAAGCAAGTTACTACAAAAATACGACATTGAACCATCTACTTTATTAGGTCTTGAAGGCATTTGGTCAACAATTTTTATATTATTTTTAGTATTTCCTATTGTTTACTTAATTCCAGGCTCTGATGTCAGTAGTCTTTCTGGTGGAGCCCTTGAAAATGCATATGATGCAGTAATTATGATTTTCACTACTCCTAGAATTGCTTTAGGAACAGCCATCATTATTTTTACATCTTATTTATCACAACAAACAACACTATTACTTTCAAATGCAAAGGATTCATTACCATATGTTGTTTCTGATATTATTGGCTCGATTGGAGCATTTATCATATTTTCTTTACTTGCAAGCGACGAAACACTCTTCACTTCTGCTGATGGACCTCTCCAAATAGTTGCCCTTATACTCTATTGCTGCGCTACTCTTCTTGGAAACAGAATTATTAAACTTCCTTGGTTCCAATATTCTGAATGGGGCCAACTTGGAGAGGGTGGTGAGATTCCAAATGAAATCGATGATTTACCTGTTGAAGAATAAATTTGATCTATTTTATATTTTATATTTTTTTATTATGAATTCTTTTCAATATATTTGTTTTTAAATCTATCTTTTTCTAGAATTTTATGATATTTTTTTCAATAAATAATGTTTGTTAATTTTATTCAAATAATGCAATAACAATTCAGCGTTAACATTGCTTGGTGTTAGTGTATGCGTTATATTATCTTTTGAAAACTATTTGAACTTACTCATTTTATTCAAATTTCATATAATTAAGGATAATTTCAATAAAAGTTGGTAACAATCCAAGTACTTAATTAACTCTGAAGCTATAAACCTTAAATTCAAAAAACCTGATCAGAATTGAATAATATGACATATGTCACTTTTTTGATCTTTTTAAGTGATGATTTTAATATTTTGTGTTTTCACGCGACAAACTGCTCTTTTATGCTACGATGGAAATACCGATCAGTGTCCTCAAGATTACCTGACATTTAATGAAAGCAATTTTGCAAATTTGGATTCATTATTCAATGATACAGAAGCAAGGGTTCTATTTTGCAAATCTATACCAAACTTTTTAGAAAACCCATTATATATCGGTGAGAACAAGAAAATGCTCACATTTTTAAAATCCGATTCATTATTAGAGAAACCAAGTATTTCACTAAGTATTGATGTAAATAATGCATGTGATATGGCATTCGAAAATATTAAAGTTAATTTCAATGTCTTGGACCCTAATATCAAAAATTATCAGATTATTTTAAAGTTTATTAACTCAATTATATATGAAAATAAAGAACTTCAATTATTGAAGTCACGATGTTACACAGATTCTTATTCCTACAATTACGTTCTTCAATTTAATTTCGGTCAAATTTATCTAAATGGTAGTTTCAATAAAATATATTTTGACACAAACAGTTCAATGAATGCTACATATATTTACCAGGGTTCAGAAGTGCTAATTTATAAACCTATTAGTTCCCAAAATTTTTATTTAACTACTGATCAAGTAATTTCAATTTCTTCAATTCAAGGAGTCAAAATTGAGTATTTTATTTATTTCAATAGCTCTAAAGGATATAAATTTAATCCAAATGAAAGCTCTGATCTACTATTATACATAAAAGGAAATTTTGATGGAGTAATCACTGATTTTCCACAGCGTTCTAGACTTGCATTTTCTAAAGATTCTTCTGTTACTTTAGATTTTACAGATAATAGAACAAAATTTAATTTTGATAAGATAAGTATCCAAAGTGGTGCTACATTAAACATCACATCGAAAGCACACATTAGATTAGATATTTTAAATTTATATGCGAACTCAAAAATGAACCTTTTCCAAAACATTAATAACACAGTTAAACAAATCCATGTTGACGTAAAAAGTTTGTTTTTCCAAGGTGGTGATTACACCATTATAAATAATAATTATAATGCGAGTGAAGTACAAACTAATAAGGTAACCATTATAAAACTAATCAATACATCCTTTCCTAAAATAGTTGCAAAAATTAATTATAAAGAATACACAAAAATTTATTCAGAAGATAAAAACTCATCCCCTTCAAGATTTCAGATTAATCCAAAGGATTTAGATGAAAATGCTTCAATATATTTTGGCAATAAATATCCATTTTTCTGCACTAAATACATGGATTGTTCGAAGGTGGATATTATGACTCTTTTTCTCAAAATTGCACCAACATACAAATATTTTAGCTTAGGCGATGGAATCAATTTGACATGCGATGTTATAGATGAATATTCATGTTTTGAATACCAACTTACATCAAATATTTATCCTCTAGCTACAATAACAAATAAAGAATATAAGACAACAAAAAGTGATGTTAGATTGTTTATTATAATGGCAATATTGTCCTTGATTTCAATACTTGTCGCAATATTTATCGGATGTAAAACATAAATTTGTTTGTATTATTTAAATGTTACTTATAATAAAATAGATTCTTATTCTTCGAAACAATGTTCATTATTGATCTATCATTGAAATTGCTCAATATTGAATTAATCTTTCGCCTAAAATGTTTGGTTTAACGATATAATAAAGAAAATAAGACAACAAAAAGAAACAATTATGTTCTTAACCATGAATTTGTTTTTAATTAAATAAAAAAATAAATATAATTTTGTAATTAAAAAATAATAATCTTTATTTATCTTGTAGAGACTCTACTAATATAGTCAAGACGCTTTTCTGTAATTGCGAACTTTCCTGTGGTATTGAAAACTAATAATTTTGGTTTTTCTTCATTTGAGTACACAGCTGTGCAACATCCAAAAGCAATTTTCTCTTCATCTGATGTAGGATCAACGAGAATGATTTTATTCACATCATCATTATCTGGATCGCAATCATCTGTAAGAATTGAGAAATTCTTTGCGTAAAGTGATAATATGTTGATTTTATGTGATGTTCCAGCGTCAACAAGCTTGGCTTCATCATCTAAGTTATAATTAGGTAATTCCAACGTTTGCAATGTATTTTGAATGCCCAAAACAGATGCAACTTCAACACCACCGTCATCGCTAATAATTGTTTGGTAGAATTTGAGGTTCCAGCCCCAAATCTTAATATTAGAATGAAATGGATTGTGAGGATCTGGACGAGCTATTTCTAACTCACTCATAGGAAGTAATTTATTCACTAAAACAGTAATAAATGCACTAAGTGTCTGATCAACAGCGCCTTTTCCTGAAACTAATGAAACAGCAGATCTATTAATAACGACATTGAATGAAGGAGCAATTGGTTGTGGTGTTGCTACTATTTTGGTTGCAATAATTGTTTTGCCGAGTGAAATTAATGAAGAAGATTGGCCGTCTTTAAAGCATTTCTCGGTAATACGAATGGGTCTTGAATCATTAAAAGAACGACCATCATTTCTACTATGTTCCTTTAATAAGGAATCTTTGAGAAAATCAAGATGATTCAAAGCTTCCATTTTTGAAAAAATTTTTGACCTCTTTAGCAAAACTTTAAAATGTTGTTTCTGATACATTATTTTATGATATTATTCAAAATTTTCATATTATCTTTTCATCAATATCATGATTCAAAGATATTTGATTCAAAATTTTCAGAAATCAGAGTTATTTTACTAATAATTCGTTACAAATAAAAAACATGCTTGTATTGATACTGTCTTGAGCTAAATGATATAATCAAATCAAGAGTAAGAATAAGATAAGACATTTTCCTAATTGGAATTTATTTTTGATGAATATTCAAGCATTAAAATGTATTCATTAAGCAAACATTAATAAAATACTGAGTAAAATTATTGGATTCCGTTATTCATAGAATGGAATCAAGCGTTCATTCTGATGGATGTAAATTAGTATTAGATTATCAATAAGGTAGAAATGAAATAGTTTAATTGGTATAATAATTACATAATACGGCAGCACTTTCCTTCTGCTTCTTGTGTTGGTTCTTCAGCCTTCTTTGGTGGTGCTGGTGGATTTAGCGCGATTCTAACTGTTTCTTCAAATACTTCTTGAATATTTTTTGCCATTTTTGCAGAGCATTCAATATATTTAGCAGCACCTATCTTCTTGGCAAAGGCATCACCCTCTGCCCAAGTAATTGGTCTTCCATTCGGATCCTTTTGCTCGGTTAGTATATTTTCCCAGTCATCTCTGAGATCTGATTTGGTTCCAATTAATACAAATGGAGCTTCTGGACAGAAGTTTCTAATTTCCGACATCCATTTGTTTTCAATGTTTTCCAAGTTTGTAGGATTTACTAGCGAAAAACACATCATGAAAGCATTTGCGTTTGGATATGCCACAGGTCTTATTCTTTCATAATCTTCCTGTCCTGAAACATCCCAAAGGTTTAAATCTATAACTGTCTTATCAACTTCTAATTTTGTATTATAATTATCGAAAACTGTTGGTACATAACCATCCGGGAATTTATTTTGTGTATAAGAAATGCATAAACATGTTTTTCCAACGGCACCATCGCCTACAACGACAGCTTTGATGCTTTTCTCAGCCATTTCTGAAATTTCTTTTTGAATGATTATTGAAAAATTTATTTTTGATAGAATATTATTTAGAAGGACTAGATCAATAATTTCAATTCGCTCAAATTAAAATAACCTTAAATTGATTTTATAACAGAAAAAACAATAAGGTACAACATAATTATATTTATATATCATTTATGATAAAAATGAAGAATTCCAAATATTAAAGCCAAATGACCTTGATTAATTTTGAAAAAAATAAAATTATCGAAATCATAAGGATTAAACTCATCCATAGGAATTTCTATAGTAAACGTGTTAGAATTTACATCCAGAACCATAAAAAATGCATAAAACGAATAGTAGTAGGATAGGATGGGTTGTGTGACTTTTTTTGTAAACGTAAGAATTCATACAATATCGAGCGATTTTGTATCATTTTTTTTAACATATTAATTTTAAAATAATTTATTTTTTTATTCTTACATAAATGACCCAACAAGTAAAACCAGATAAAATAGATTATCGAATTTTAGAGGATGGTGTTCCTGTTTATATTCAAAGATTTAAAGGGAAGCAATATTATAGAATTGTTAATCCTGAATACATAAAACATTTATTTAAAAAGGAAGGCTGTGAATTATTAAACGTTAATGAATATGAAACCAATAAATCAAAATTGAAATATAAATATATTGGAAGTGATGAAAGATGCAAAGATAAAGATAAAGTTTATACAGTTTCATATAATGAATGGAAAACCAATAAGATAAGAAAACATTTAGGAGATTATGGTAAAAGTTCTGAATTCTTCAAATCTAGTATGTACGAGAGAGTAAAAGAAATTAGAAATAATTATTTTCATGAATAAAATAAACTTTAAAAATTCATGTCTTACATTTTTGAATAATTTATTTTTATTTTGTATGAAATGAGCGTCAAAACTAACAACGTTAAAAAATTAGGATTCACAAACGAGGAAATAAAGGATATATTAGATGAGATGTGTTATGAAGTTAGTAAATATTATTTAAGAAATTGTCAAAAATTTGCCGAGTTATTAAATGATTTAGATTATGATGGAAAAATGAATAAAGATGATGTTATAAATTTCTTATATCCCACATCAGAAGAAGAAAAACCTAAAGAACCTGATGTTTTCCCTGAATATTATGAAGAACGGATTAAAGATGATGAATACGATGAAATTGAAATTGAAAGACTGGAAAAAATAAGAGATGAAATAGATGAAAAAATTAAGGAATTAAGAGAAGTTGAAAATGAAGTAGAGGATTTAATGAATATCCCAGCTTCAGAATCAGAAGTTCAGAAATCTCATGAAGAAAGATATAAAAATTATGTCTCAGAATCAACACAAAATTTATTAGATGGTGAAATAGACGAAACACTTTCAGAAGAAGGTACTAAATTTATACGTAAACATAAGTTACAATTTATTGATAATGAAGAATACCCTTGTATCTTACTTTCACCACCTTTAGATTCCGAAAAATTCAAAAAAGCTCTTAAAAACGTGACATATGCAACTAATACGATTAAGAAAGAAGATCATGATATTTACACAAATTATTATTTAAAGAAATGCACAGGTGTTGATAAAGTTTTTGATTTATTAGATAAAATATCAAAAGAAACCATTGGAACCTATAAAATTTTGTGTGACTGTGGTTTCATTATTGAAGATACCAATAATGTTTCATATGAAAGAACAGCACCGAAGGAAGACGAAGTGGAAAGGTCTATACCATTCGTTATTAAGAACATAAAAGATATGAAAACTTATAAACATTATATTTATTCATTTATTTCAGAAAAAATGGAAGCAACCCATAAAACATCTTCTCATCATTTTATAGCTATTCATACATTCCTTTTCAAAGTTGTGAAATTAAATAAGACAGGAATTAGATTTAATGTATCAGGGTACGCATTCTTGAGTAAATTAAAATGTATTCGTCACGTCGCAGATGATAAAAATTTATGTGTTCTTAATTCATTTTATGGGCTTTAAAAAATAAACTTTATTTTTATTTATTTTTTATTCTTACATAAATGAACAAAAACGGAACCGCTAAAATGAATGATAATCAAATTAGAGCAGAAGGTAGAAGGTTATTTAAACGCTTTTATAACATTCCTGATGGTGTTAATCCTAAAACTCGTAGAAGCTATTTAAATGAAGCAATAGATGCATATGAAGGGTTTGACATTTCATCAGAAAGTGAGAGATTAGCGAGAATGTTAAATGTTAATATTGATTTCTATTATTGTGATCCTCAACCAGAAGACGTGGACATAAATAAGGTAGACTTTCCATTAGTGGATTCAATAATGATAGATCCAGAATTTGAAACAATAAATATTTTATTAACACAGAGTCCATGTGGAAAACTTCACGCTGACAGAATAACAGACGTTGAAGCACTCACCGGCTATAGAGTTTGTCCATATTGTAAAGAAGAAGTTTATTCTATCCGTGATGATCCAGAAAGGAAAAACCAAAGAAGATTTTTAAAGCATTGTGAGAAATGTAAAGAAAATAATGGAAGATTAATTCAAGACGTTCAGTTGCAAAAGACACAGCAACCATATGCACCACATATTACGAAACAGAAGATATATCAGTGGTTATTAGCTCATAATTTGCAGGAATATTATCAACCGACAAGATATTATATTACTTTTGACTTCGAAACATTAGAGACTAAAGAAGAATTACAACTTTCTGAGTGTGCAACTTTGAACGCTTACTTAAAACCATTCATGGTATCATCAACGGTTAAATTAAATGATAAAACATATACGAGGAATTTTTGCTTAACTTCGAGTGATTCTTTTATTTCTGATTGGATTGAGTTTTTATTTTCAACCTGTTCATTAGTTGCTAAATCAAATATTGAACAATATGAAGAATTAATGAATCCTGAAGGTCTTTCAGACCAAACGGCGGGGACTTTGTCCCATACATTAAATGAAAAACAGAAGGAAGCATTTAAAGAACTTCTAGATGAGGAATTCAATAAAGTGAATATCATAGGTTTTAATTCGGGAAAGTTTGATTTAAATTTAATTCTTCGTGATTTAAACACTGCAAAATGGAAAATAAAATCAATGCTGGGTTCATCTTCACAATTTAAGCAAATCATTGTAAAGAAAACAAACGTTCCATATGAATTGAGATTTATTGACATCAGAAATTATATAGCGGGTGGGACATTAGACCAATTCACTCAAGATTTCGGAAACAATAAATCACGTGTTAAATCCTTTTTCCCTTATCAATTCATCACATGGGAGAATTACGAAGAAGAATTATATAAAGAGGAACCATTCACTCAAGATTCATTTTATTCAGCATTAACACAAGAAACTATATCAGATAGTGATTATCAAATATATCTCAATGATGCTAAAAATTTTAAGAATAGATTAGAATATTTTATTCATTATTGCAATAAAGATGTTGAAATTATGATTGACCCAATTGATAAAATTATTGAAGAAACATTTGTTTATAAAATTGACATGCTTCATAATCTTTCTTTATCATCGAATGCTTCAATGATTCGTTACGCTTTAGCATATAAAGACTTTAATCCTAATGAAAAATATCCTGAGGAAGAGATAGAATCAAGTTTTGAATTAACGAAAAAGTATTGGAAAATAAAATTGAATCATATAAGAAACAAGATGAAAAAGCAGAAAGGGATACTAAAAATAATGTTTCAATGGATGATTTTCAATACTATCACGATTTAATCCTTTCATCTAAATGCAAAATGTGTGGTAAAGCGTTTACATATGCAAATAAACCAACATTAGATAGAATCGATAATGAAAAAACCACATACCAAAGAAAATTGTCAGTTAATGTGTTGTTATTGCAATGTCGTAAAATCAAATAAAGATGAAGATGTTCAACGTTTAAGAATCAATTTAAGAAATTACGCATTAAAAAATAATTTACCAATGACTTTAGATTCAGTTGAAGCTTATCACATTCTCCGTAATGGAATTACTGGTGGTCTATCAAATGTTCAACATCGTGTTAATCTTAAAGGAATCACGCACATTAATAAATCATATAATCCAGAAACTAAAACTGTATCAAATGAGGACACCACCAACATTATGACTCATTTCGTTGGTGTTGACTTTAATTCATTATATCCTTCATCATTTTCATCTAATCCTCATGATTTCATTCAATATACTGACCATAAAATGTATATGCCGGGAAGATTGAATGGTGTTATCATTTGTGATACAGCAACAAAGAAAGCAAAAGCACTGGGAATAATTAAGAAGAAAAATACTTTATTTGTGGCTGAAGTAAAGGGTCACATTGATGAAAAATACATTAATGATTACATAAACTTTTTACCGATAATAAGAAACTTAGATATTATCACAGATGAAAAAAACAATTGGCAGTTTTATGTATAATTACATGAAATCAAACAATCTACCAGTTGACCAGAAACAGAGGAAATTAACTCAGTTAGCATCAACACACAACCAATATCAACCATTTTCTTCTTATTATCTTTGGTATCTAATCGACAGGTTTCATTTTATCATCGATGATATTCAATCAATTTTAACATTTACTAAAAACACTTGCTTTAATGAATTTGCGAACAAATTTATGAACGAAAGACAAAAGGCTGAATTAGAAGGAAATAAAGGAAAAAGTTTATTTTGTAAGATTTCGCTTAATGGATCATATGGTTACGATGCAATGAATACACAAAATTACGCAAAGACTAAAATAATGAATGCACAGAAGGCACGCGTTGCATGTATGTCAAATAAGTTTAAAAACATAAGAGAAATAGGTGAGGATACATATCAAGTGATGCTTAAAGATAGATTTTATAGATGTGATACATGTTTACAAGAGTCATTCTTCACTTTAGATAATGCTAAATACTGGTATTTGGTTCATTTTATGATTTTATGTATAAATGCATGGATGTTAATCGTTTTCATTTCATTGAAGGTGATAC